CTTTAGGTGCACCAAAAACGAAAAAGTTGAGAATTAAACATTTATAAAGATTTTTAGTCTCTTCAGTTTCTGACGAATAATGTTTTTTTTTTTCATTTATGTGTTAAACTTATGGTGAATCAAAATACTCTGAAAACCGATATAATTAGTTTAAAATTTGAAATGTGCAGATATAGCGCTATTACTTATACAGCTTCGTTCATAATGTTAAATTGAGAAACGCGGAAAACGCAATGTTGATACATAATCTTTGTTCACATGATATCGCTTTCCACATTAATGGATCTCTGAATTTTTGTTTTGTTTTGTTTAACAAAATCGTATTTTTAAGTGTGGTTTTCTTGTTCAAAATACTTTAATATTATACACAAAGGAGCAATTTTAACTACTACTAGACCATCTATCTGGTACATTTATATATATATATATATATATTATCTATATTTATATTCACAAAATTGTATTCCAAGGCATGACACATTTCAAAGGGTATTTGGGCACTTTGAAAGAACAGTGTATATATATATATATATTTAACAAAACGTCTCACTTGTACAGAGGTTTAATACATTACATTAAAACGATTTTGGATACTACGTCATTATAATCCATATCGCCACGTCCAGTCATGTGCTATCTGCCAAACGTGCATCTTCGCAATAGTCATGTAGCGTAGTTTTCAATGTAAAAGGCTCCACTATAAGGATGTGATATTCAAGGCATACCACTCCGCCTTAATAGATTTTTATAATTCATCTAATATACAAGAGCGATAGTTTCCCAATACCTGTTTCAACAGCCCGATCGCACAGAAACCAGTAAGTGATTGAATGATATGTTTCATTCTCCAGCTGCTTGAAGTATGCGACGGTTGAACGGGAGGTATGACTAGAAGCCTTATCTTAATTAACACGTATTCTTTTAGACTCGATTCCAAACAAGATCCTCTTGATTATGTCGCATACTGTTGCTTTTTACCATTGACTTTTGTGTTCGTGGATTTTCGCCTATTACAAGACGCCGCACTTTGCTCACCATGGCTGCCGTATGAGTTGTTGCAGGTCTCTGTATGAGTTGTTGCAGGTCTCTTTCTGGATGGTCTTGGTGCCCTAAGTTGATCCATATTAATTTTCCAATGCCATTAATAAAAGACATCATCGATCTGAACCCATCTCTATAATCTGAATGTATGAATATTTTGCAATGAAAAGGGTTGTTTCATACCTTTCCAAAAGCTATTAATTTTTGGCGACATCACACTATTTACGTAACGTCAAAACAATATCAAAATGTAGTTCTGATACAAGTACTTCCACCGCGACTTTATATCGGCTGTGGATGCTACGTGGCTTGCTGACTGTGTGCTCAAAATTGTTTCAATATAATGTATTCAACCCTTTGTATGCCATGTGATTTCATCTGATTTAATATCTTAAAATATTTATCATGTAATGACAATCGTTTATGGATTTTTCTTGTTACTTTCTTACCTTTCAAAGAGCTTGCTAAAAGAGTCAAAGAGTACAATACATCTTCCTTTATTTTCTCCTTCCCAAGCTTAGTCACTTCTTGATCTAGGGTGTTAGTGGTATGTTGGAGTACGGGATGGTAAAGTAAATTTAACAACCTCTGCAGAGACCTGAAGAGTTTCTCGCCACATCCGTCAAACACTCCCACTACATAAGCCTAAAATTTGCAAACAGACAATTCTATAACGTTTATGAAGTTTATTGGTAACCAAGGTTAGAAATATTAAAGTAAACAGCTATTACGAAGTATAATCTCTTCTTTAAAATGTAAAATCAGTAAAATAGAAGAATAATCTTACATCTTCAGCAGCAACAGTAACAGGAACCGTTGGAATCATTTTTACAAAGAAAATACAAGTACCCTCCGATAATGCGTTTTTATCAGTCACTAACGTGATTTGCTTCTTGTGGTCTCGTTGACTTTGATCAACTTCATTGGCTACATTTTCAAATAAAGAAATAAAAATATGACTCTTATAACTCATGATTTCAGCTATATTTCAAGTCAACATTTTATCTCAGCTCATGTTAAAAGACAAAGTGCATATCCTCCGCAATCACAAATCTTTTAAAAAATTACAAGTTCACGAACAATGTACCTAGTAAAAACACATTCTACTTTATACTTTGTTTGTTGAATTTCGCGTAAAGCTATTCGCCGACTGTCTTCGCTAACCGTTCCTAGCTTAGAGGCGATAAGACTAGAAGAAAGGCAGTTAGTCAACACCACCCACCACCAATTCTTGGGCTATTGGAATGGAATAGTGGGATTTATCGTCACATTATAATGTCCTTACAGCTGAAAGAGCGAGCATTTCGGTGATGAAATTCGAACCCGCGACCCATAAATTGGGAGTCGAGCGCCCTAACCACTGTTACTTTATTATAGATTATTTTTATTTGTGCGGATAAAATTAGCACTGTTAACAAGCACAAGCTCCACAAAAACCTTGTTTTTATCTGTTTTATATGAGATTTATATTTTCTAAGTAACAGAGATGTACATACATTGCGATCCATATGAAACTTAGTCCAGAAATTCTTATTATTGGATTAACACAATAGCTAGTAAAGTTTTCTATTCACAATATCGGAAAGTTTTTCATAGTGCAGATTTGTGCATTAAAACAAAAACCTGAAACTGCAAATAAGTGACGAAAAACCTTCAAATAAAATGGATATTATATATAAAAAATATATATTTTTTCAATTATACAGCCGTTCGAGACACAAAATAATTATTATCAGTTATTATTGTTATGACATACAAATTTATTCAAATTGTCTCGGTAATATGGTCACAAAGAGAACAACAGATATTTCCATAAGACACTTTAAAAGCTAGAACCAACACATACCTTTTTTGGTTTGACAAAAAAATAATAAACTGCGAAGTCCTCCTCCCATAAAAAAACGCTTCAGTAGTACTTCCTGAAAGGAATGTTAAAATATTTACTAAATTCAATTCTAAGGAGTACGGTGCATAAAAGTATAGGATGCTACATATTGATTGTGTATATTTTATTAATGACAATCGTATATAAGTAGTATTCACATCTTAGTATCCGCAAAAAGTTGATTCATGATTTTTAAGCAAAGAAATATGTCGAACACAGACAGCAAAATAAAATAAGTAAATACAAGCGAACTTGGAAATATAATATTAGGTATTTACACCACACAAGTGACCACAGTGTTTGTGTTACCAAACTAACCGACCTTCTGTTCCACGAGACTACTATCTGACTGTTGGGATCGAGGGCAGCTGAAAGCAAGAGGCAAGCAAATATAACTCACTTTTATACTCAAATTGAAACCTTAGTGGGTATCCAATAAGTAAGGTATCGGCACCTTTATGTATTTTTATTACACTTTTAATGTTTAGTATGTTCAGAGAAAAAAAAAATAGAAGCACAATTTCCTATTCTTTGTTACAAACGAGTTTTTATTTCACCTTCTCGCAATGTTTGTGGAACTGAGCGAATGTCCAGATTTTCCGACACGAGCAAATTGTTCAATAGCCAGACGCTACTTCCCCTTGCCTAACCTCAAGCCCACCACATATCGCTCAATAGCTAGACGCTACTTCCCCTTGCCTAACTTCAAACCACACCACATATCATCCAGAACGTATCAACGAGCAAAACAAACACAAAATGTATAGACACAATAAAAATACTACATCTCAACTGTCAAGGTGATTTAATCACCAAAAATTTGAAATAAATAGCCTAAACCAACAATTTAAAGCTGAAATTATAATAGTATCAGAAACAAGCAAGAAAAACCAAAACGTTAACTTTCAGGATTTAAATCTTACACTACCACACACGCAATCCAACAGAGGAGTGATTTTACACTTTAAAAATAACATAACCAATATAATATCAATAGAAGAAAAATTTTAATCTGACATAAATGAAACTATCTTTTGTAAAATTCACGTAAACAATAGAACAACCATTCCGATAGTAGCTACCTACTGTTACCCATCACAAAACAATGATATAAACTACCTCCAACAATACATGTCAAGAAGTCCACAACCCCTAATTATTGGCGATTTAAATGGCACGCAAGAACTCCCACCAGTTTACAACTACACTAAAACTGACTGGCAGACATTTAACTAAAAACTTACCATAAATAATAACATGTATAAATAACAAACACGAACTAGACACATACGTAGAAAATGTAACGAAAGCTATTAGCATAGCTACAGCTGACACTTCCCCGTCAGTTTCAAGACAACACTCAAGTAATTACTGGACTCTTTAACTCCTGAGATTCACGCACTAATTATAGAACGTAGAAGTCTCAAGACAACATTACATTTCATGTGATCCACCCTTAAAACCAAGAAAAACAGATTAAACACACAAATAAAACACAACATTAAAACATTAAAAGAAACTAACTGGCTTGACTTTTGTAACAACCTAGAAAACTCACGAAGTAAGCCTAAAGAATTCTGGAAAAAAATTAAATCTCTCTCATCTAACAAAAACAATAATCATCTGTTCCACCAAATAAGACGTAACGCATTACAGCTAAAACCGATTCAGATAAAGTTAATCTATTGGCCGACTATTGCGAAACTTCTTTTAATAACTTAAATTCTTCGAATTTCCACACCCAGCACCACAGCCAGATAAACAACTATATTAACAAGTACCCTAAACTTTTCACTCCGTGTTTCCCAGCCAACAACTTGCACGAAAACATTACAACTAACCAACATAATCTCATAAACAGAAAAGTCACAATTACAGAACTGAAAATTAACATAAAAACACTTAATAATTCAGCCTCCAGTTATGATGAAATTAGAAATATGGTTCTTAAAAAGCTTCAAACCTTTTACTACTACACTTAACAAACATTATGTATTTATCACTGCTAGCTGGATATTATCCGGACACTTGGAAACAAGCAATATTACCGTAATATCTAATGAAATTAGAAATATGGTTCTTAAAAAGCTTCAAACCTTTTACTACTACACTTAACAAACATTATGTATTTATCACTGCTAGCTGGATATTATCCGGACACTTGGAAACAAGCAATATTACCGTAATATCTAAAAAACAAACCAACAGATCAAATCCAGACAATTTTCGCCCCATTAGTTTGTTAAGCTGTCTTGGCAAGCTAATGGAGAAAATAATATCGAACAGGCTCCTATACTTCTGTGAAACAAACAATCTATTATCAGACATCTAAAACGCACCAAGAAAGAACAGACAAACAATAAACCACCTCATACGATTAACTGCATTAATCTACAAGTCATTCAATATTAGTCAATCTACAATAGGTGTATTTTTAGATGTTGAAAAAGCATTTGATAGTGTTTAGTACAATGTCATAAAATATAAACTAAAACATCTAAGTATTAATGAAACTATGATCAGACGGATATCGAACTTTCTAGCCGATAGAACAGCTAAAGTTAAAGTTAACGATGCACTATCAAAAACATTTCATATTACTGCAGGAGTGCACTCCTATACATCAGATTTATTAACGACAGCACATTCCCCAAGTTAACATACACATATCGCTCTCAATATGCCGACGACATAGCAGTCTGGAGCATATCTAGAAACCCACTCATAGCAATGATCCGCGTCCAAAATCACTGAATTTAATCCTTAAATGTTGTAACAAATGGACATAATGAGTGATACTAAATCCAACAAAAACACAAGCAATAGCCTTCTTCAAAAAACTACGCAAACATATGAAACTCTCAAGAATATCAAACTTAAGTTAGGAGATGCACAAATAAAAATGAGTAACAACATCAAATTTCGTGGTATCACCTTTGACACTCGTCTAACACGGAACAAACATATTTAGAACATACACACCTCGATTATCAAACGTATCAACTACATTAAGTTAATTACAGGTAAGCACACAAGCTGCACACCTATAATACCCCTAAAAATATACAAAACGTTTGTACGCCAACTTATAGAATATGGCTGTCAGATAACCTATTACATGTAAGAAAGTAACCGTAGAAAACTGGCCCTAGTAAATTACATATATAAAATCAGCAACCTACCTACTTTAAGAAATAGACTAACTGAACTAGCTTTCAAATATTATAAAAAAGCAGAAATAAATTGACAGTTGCGCTACACGAACTTACAAGCGCCCCTGCCAAACACACTTCGCCATACAATCTGTTCTGCGTACAGGAAAACAAAAAATAAAACAATACACAAAGGGTTGAACACAATGTTATGTTTTTATTGGCCATCACCTTTGCATTTACAGCCAGGGCACAGGACAGATAGACTATTCGACGTCTATCTTATGAAAGTTGGTTTTCTCCTGGCACTCCTGTTTTTCCCCAAAACAAAATTCACCTGGGCATTGGATCGCATGCCTCCCCCCGGAAAAGGGCCTACAATCCAATTCGTTTCTATAAAATCCGATTTAACAAAATTTAGTTAAAAACAAAATTAGTTCTTAAATTCAAAAAGTTCGAAATTAATATTAGAATAATTCAACCGTCTTATTACTAAACAATATGATATAAATTTAATACTTCGAATGCATGTTGGATCTCTCTGTCTCGTTAAACAAACAAGCTAACTTAAATTGCAGTAAGTAACCTCTAACTATGTAAAAGGGTTAGCACATGTTTACAATCTTGAGACATCCAGTCAACACTGACATGATTAACTACATACATAATCTATATGGAACTTTAAAAAAGTATTTGAATTTACTTCACTAAATGTATATTCTGTACTATTTTATACCCTGCAGCTATATGGGGAATCTGTAAACATTGGATTGGAGGGACTATTGAACTATCCTGGAATGGTTCATGGACTGGATCTTGTAACCACGTGAGTTTTATACATGCATGCACATGCAATGCATGTTGGCTAGTATTTAGATCTATATATATGTATGCAGGCTTTGTACTTTTTTAAGTTGTAAAGCCGTATATATAGATAGTCCTACGAAATTTTCAAGTTCTATAGATACATGCATATATATTCAATGCAGATATAAGACAATGTGTCATGATATAATATGATATGTATACAAATAAGAATTTTTAACATTTCTTATAGTTGTTATATTTCCCCCCTTCCGCTTCCTCTTTCTCCTCCTCATCCTCACTGGCTATAGTAAGGCCAGTCACGGTTTTGCTGCAGCTGGACAGATTTCCTATTAGAGTGACATTCTGCACATTCTACAATGTCGAAAACGTGTTAATTAACAATTATGAATTGATTATATTAATATACCTTTCCCCTCTATTTTTGATGGAGTTTGGGTCATGACACTACTACGACCTTTTTTCACTGTGATGACCTAAACTAAATAAAATATGTAGGTGCAACATTTCTGCCTCACTTTCGCCTAGAATCGCCATCATTTTCGCCATCTCCTGCTTGCACGATTCTTGCCACTCCTTACAGTCAGTCAGTTTCAAGGATGGCTACTCTATCCGCAGTATCTATAAAATTCGCAATCATGTATTGTTGACCATAATTCGACACCTACCATCAGTCATCACCGTGATTGCCGATCCGATGCTCGAAACTGAGCTTGGTGCTGTCTTTTAAACCACGGCTTAAAGATTTGTGTTGTGGGGAACAGTCTAGACATTTGTATAAAGTGTTAGAAATTTGTGTAACATGGCCGAAATCGATCATGCAGTGGTAAAAAAACCTGTGATCCTGTTAGCAGAGTTGTGTCCGAAAGGGCAGGATATTATACATCAATACAGTTGCAACAATAAGTCAATAATCGCTATGATACATGTGTCATGCCTGCCATATAAAGATTAAATTACATCCACGACCTACACACAGCTATATATGAATGCATGTAGGCTCTATATAAAACACAGACTACATTAAAACGATTGGATGTCAACGATTATACAGCCGCTGTTATTTGCTAGGTAGTCAAGTAAACTTAAAAGTTGCCCTAGACAATGCGCAATGATGCGTTTAGTAACATTGCCCAGGTTTTATTACAATACCCCCAGCCATTTTTTGTTGTCGGCTGACGGAATATTATTAAATAATAATAAAAATAAATGGTCGATCCCTATTATGAACTACTATCGTGGTTCATGATAGATATTAGTATTTCATTAGTTTTTGTTTGTTTTAGCACAAAGTTTCACATTAAGCTATCTCCACTGTGTCAGTCGCGGGGTTTTAACCTACAATTTTATCATTATAAACCCTGCTGCTTATGACTGAGATATCGAGAGACTGTTTACCAGTTGTTAAACACAGTTTTATACATTATAGAACGTTTATGCTTACCCATACATAAACAGATAAATAAATATAGTAAGTTATATCAAATAAACTTACATTTTCATCAGTAAATATATCCCCAATCACATCTTCCTCTGTAAGTCCTGTTGCTTTGGCAACTGTTGAAAAGATATGATGATGACGCTCGTCAAGATTCCCAGTTTTGCGAACTGCTTTTTCTTCTCGAAATCTCTGTCAATAAGTATTACGAATTAAAAATAAGTTTGATAATGTGAACAAACTGAAAAATAATAATGTATATATTTGCAGTCAATTTTGGTAAAATTATGAAAAATTACGGGCACAGGTTAGGTTATATCGTTTGAAACCTTACAGGAAAGTATGTCGGGATAGTGGTGTGATATGCAGATATAATAAACTAAATCACCTTATAACTTAGTACGTGAATATAATGTTATTTCTTTTTGTTTCAAAACTTTAGTAGAGGTATTTTGCAATCAGTAAAACAGTTGCTAGAAGAATAGGATGTACCCAGACTTGAACTGTGTTAATACTGCTCTCAGGATGTCACACACGGTAGAAAACTGATCAAAGACTCGTGTATTTTTGCACTAGGCCTCCTTGCTGAAAAATGTGGTAAGTTGTTCTTATTGTGTTTATGGCATATTGGTTCTATGTGGAGATAGAGAAATCGTAAATTCTGGTTTCCAATTTCTGTTAATTAGGCTGGTCTGATGATGAGAACACATGGCATTTTGAGAAATCCTATTGGAACTTATAATTATAATATTTTTCCAATTCTAAGATAATTCTTATTCAGAATCGCCTTGTCTTCATTGAGTGAAGTTCGTAATTCAGTGTTCAATTGTTTGTTTGCCTGTTGCATTAAGTGTTGTTGTTTGTTGGACATTTTCTGTGTTATCTTTACTTTTGCAATTGAGTTGACTATATTTACTTTTCACATTAGAATCTTACGAATTTCTTGTTATTGTGATTTGGTATCTTAGCGGTTGGCCTTAGGTGTATCTTTAAAATCAACAGAACCAATAAGCAGCAGCAATGCATTTTTTTATTATCCTCGCTCATACTATAATGGCTATTATCATTGTATAAAAATATCATGGGCGCCCGCAGGAAGGGGCAAGGGGGGTCACTTGACCCCACCTGATTTTCAAAAAGAAAAAAATTACTAGATATGTAAAATTCTTCTTCTATGTTATTGGAAAATCATAAGGTATTTGTATTTCGATTTCATAATTTATTTTCAAACTTGAGTTACTTGACCCCCCTAATTTTTTGAAAAATATTATATGAAAAATGCCATCAGTAGGTGTTTTAAAGGGACTGTTTCACCCCAAAGTTGTCTTAGAACAGCAATCTGAACCCAATTTACACTTTCAGAGGTCAGGCATATTTCTAGCAAAGGACACTTCAAGTGGAATATTTGTGGCATCGTACAATACCTCATAGTTTTTATGAAGACAAAAATGTGCTGAAGAGAAAAAAAAGCATTTCATTGTTTATTGTAAGTGCATACGTTACATGATTTTAAAAACGAAATGAAGTTATTACTACAACGTTTGTGCTTCTAAAAACGTCAAGGAAAAATAGACTCATGTGTTATCGTTACGTGTACCGGACTTTGAATTATTTTCGCCAGAAAATATACAAGAATCCACCAACGAAAGAACAAGTTAGAACACTTGTGTCAGAAGTGGGTTTATTTTAGTGAAAATAAAATAAAACTTTTAATGTATTTAATGAATGTCAAGTAGTCATTCTTACTGAAGGCATATTCTCAAGAACCTTTGCCCTCCATGCTGATGTTCCACAAAATTCAGTTCTCACCTCTTTCTTCTGTATGTTTCGTATATACCACAACCTCCACGTCCTGTTCAGATTATTCAGTATGCTGATGATACTGCTATAGTGGCTATCTGCTTGACCATTGTTACCTTAAACAGGGTCCTAAAAACAACAGTCAATTACTTCCTAGCTTGGTGTAGATATTGGCAGCTGAAACTCCAGCTATATAAACCTCAAGCTATTCTGTTTGATGCAAGCAAAAGGAAATATCGATCTTGTCGAAATTCTGACGTATTTATTGTTCAAATATATCATATTCCCGTACAACTACTTAACACATTTAAATTCTTAGGTGTCAACTTCAATAATTATCTCATATAGAAGGCCCACCTTGCAACAGTTAACTTCAAGATTACACAACGCTTCAAACTTCTGTGGTGTCTGGCTGAAACTACTTGGGTCTTGAATCCATCTTTTCTGTTCCATCTTATAAGACCTTCATTCGTCCTTACACAACAAATGTAAAGTTATTCAGACCAACTCAGGGTTTCTATGATCTCATCACCTTCAGAAGCTTCGTATCAAACGTATCACACGCTACTTCTTTACTCACAATATCACCCTTGTCGACTTTCGAAACTCTCATGTTCATCCTCCACGAAAACTGCTCCCTCCAGCTGAACTTATCCTCAACATGTAAGAGATGTTTCTTCCGAAGGGTGGTCCACGACATGTTTCTTCCTCTGTGAAAAACCTGTTTCCGTACATTTATCCTGTCTGAATATCTTTTTATTTTCTCATGTCTCACTTACCTTCACAACTGATTAAGTAAATGTTTGAATACGTGACGAGAATCGTTTTATATAGTTCAGTTTCCATTTTGGAATCTTTTTTGTACAATATATTTACACCCTCTCATCCAGTATTAATAGCCACTATGCTATGAAGTTTTAATATCATGGTCGAAGATAGAGCGTAACACCCTGATGGTCCACTAGCCATATTGGACTGTACTTAAATGATAAAGAGAAAAATATATATTAGCTTCGCTTCTCAAAGCAGTACTGAAGAGATGTGAACTGCAGCGGGAGTAGCGATTAGAGCTCCACGCCATCTTTGTTAAAATTCACGTTTTGGTGAGGAAAAGAAATTCGTAAATAAGTATATGTGTGTGTGTGTGTTATACTATTTATCATGCTCCCCAGTGGCTCAGCAGTAAGTTTGAGGGCTCATGCCGCTAAAAACCGGGTTTCGATAATCGTATTGGGCACAGCACAAATAGCCTATTGTGTAATTTTGTGTTTAACAACAAACAAACAAGCTATCTATCATCATTAAACACTGTAAATTAAGATACCTAAGACGCGCGTCACTTCATCTATTTCACACAGTTGATAAATCTTAAAACAATAACAAAAGTTAACACAACGCTACTAACAACCTTTTTTTTATCCTTGTGTTCTTTGCTACCATAAATATACAAGTTAATGATTTTCTTTTATCTTTTTATGCTTTATTTCGCTCTTTATGGTTTAAATAATTTACGACACACCGAAACTGATTAATTAAATTGTATCTCTCCAGGAAATTTTTTTCTACTCAGTTATCAAATATTCCAAGCCTCTTAGATGTTCTGCGAATACTTTTCTGATTTATCTTAAATAGCCAGAGCAGAATACGGTTATTTTAACCAGAATCTTTTATGGTATTACTCTTCCGGCCTCGCATTATCTGATTTTTGTAACATTATTGTCCGTTTAAGTTTCTTTGAAACATGAAAGTGAACTGTTAAAATAAAAACTCAGAAAAGTTAGGCATAGTAAAATAAAAATGATTACGCTATTATTGTTTGCTACAAATTGTTCGGGTTTTTACTTAATATTGCACATCCATTACATGTGATGGTAGGATTTTTCAAAGATTGTTTGTTTTAGTCAAAAGCCACAATAAACTATTGCTCTGTCCACGGCGGGAAATCGAACTTGGGATTAAAGTGTTGTAGGCATATAAACTTACTGCTAACCTACCTGGGAGCACCCCAGTGGTACTGCGGTATGTCTGCGGACTTGTAATGCTAGAAACCGGAGTTCGACGCCGTGGTGGGCAGAGCACAGATAGTCCTTCGTGTGGCTTTGTGCTTCATAATAAACAACAACCTTTAAATATATATTACATACTTTCGGCTCACTAAAAACGAAAAATAGAGAATTAACTATTCAGGAAGATTTCTCTTCAGTTTCTGACGAATGTAGACAGAAATTCGTAGTGAAAACTGAAATAATAAGCTTAATGTGATTTATTTATTTATTTATTGATAAATTTATAGTGATTCAAAATACCTTGAAACCGATATAATTAAATTAAAATTTTGAAATGTGCAGATATAGCGCTATTACCTATACAGTTTCGTTCATAATGTTAAAATTGAGAAATGTGGAAAACGAAACGTTGATACATAATCAATATTCATACTATATCGCTTTCCACGGTATGTCTGTGGAGTTACAACGCTAAAAACCGGGTTTTGATACCCGTGTTTGGCAGTTTATATACATACATATATAAATTTATATAGACATACATACACACATTATAAGTATCACCGTGTAACTGTAATGTATATATATATACATACATTTTACGTATGACTATGCTATACTTTACAGATTTGGTTGACTTTTTAGACCATGTACCTGTTTTTCCCGTGGTCCGTCATGTTGAATCGCTCGGGTGCGAGGAATTCCTTCAGCATGCTGAAGTCGTTGTAAGCCTGCTTGAAGTCGTCGTTTCGGCATAAGGAACCCACTCGCTTTACTGTTTTATCACACACTCTTGCAAAACGTCAGTGTCTTTCAAATCAAATCATGCTTCATGAAGAAACACATACATCTAAAAAGTTTACAAATACCTTTTGTCAATACCATTTTCACTCATTTGAAAATACGCCTGAATCTTTGACTGACAGTTCTGTTTTGCTTTTTTTATCATTTGTTTATACTGTTACCCCTAACAACACGGAATCGATTGAGCTTTCTGGCCTATGTTGGTCGCCTAAGTTTGCATTCAAACCACGCTTGTTCAGCGTCCCAGAATTATCAAAGTTGCAATATCGTGGTATACGAAAGTTCGTGATCAGGCCGTTTTCAGGCGAATTTGACTAAGCTTTATTCTGGAATTACAAAGAATATCAAGTTCTTGTGTGGAATTTTTACAATGGTTTCTTATCAGTCTATAGCTTCCATGAATCAAACATATCAGGCCGTTTTGACAGAAATTATATGTGGTGTACTTTTTATTGGATGTAATTTTAATCTATGTAACACATTAGGTATTCCATACTTAAAACAGCTAATTCATTAATCTCTATTAACGAGAGCTCTTTCATTTGATGAAATCAAGTGTCCAAACTTAAGGTACTAATATTGAACTCCGATAATAATTAAGTGGTGACATTTAATGTTTTGCAAAAACAAATCAGCACTGGCAACTAACAATTAATTATTGTTATTTTAATTAACTTAAAGCTTCTACTAGTTTTGATTAGTGAATTATGGAAAAGACTTGATTCTGGAAAATAAAGTTAATATAAAATTGAAAATTAATATAATAACGCATTGACATTTCAGTATCTTTGATTATCATAAAGTAATTTATATTACAATTTTAATGCCGCATTATCCAAACTAGTAATAAGCATTTTACAATAACTATAAGCTAGGAAGCATAATATTATTAAAGTAAGGTAAACTGTCGTATTTAAAAATTAATTTTTACTATCTAGTTATTACTATATCTTAAAATATTTGCACCAGGAGGAAGTCTAGTCTTTCTGCTGTCAGTTTACCCATTTTTTCATAGATATCTTCATAGATGAAAGAGATATTCTCCTATCTGGTGTATGAGTTACTTTAAGGTGACGAAAAGCAAGCTAAGCACCCTCTGTAAGTAATGTAAGTCAACAAATCCATGTTATCATACTCGACTACAAGTTCAAAAATATTTTGTTTCTATCAGCTGAGTGTTTGCAAATTTATTTTTAAAAAAAGTTAACTAATTACAATAAAATTTCTCAGATAATATTATTTTACTTTTGAAATTTAATAATAATTGGACATGACCTTTCATTTTGAATAAAGTTTATTTGTACGAAACTTAAAATATGGAAAGAAAATACCTTAAAAAAACTTTGAAACAACAACAGTTGTATGCGTACATCTTCAAACAAGGCCAAAAGATTTGTTGTACTAGATATAACTAGCAGAATTACAGCTAGAACAAAGGATATGCTTCTAGTAATCATACAAAGAAGACTGAAGCTAAAACCAAACGAATTCTAAATAGTTATTCTAAACGTAAATTAAATTATCATATGTTGTTTTGCATTACACCACGTCATTCAAGATGCTTCAGAATGTCCGGCCATTCTACAAATAATGAGGAAAACGTCATGAATTTGAAATGATGATTCTTTATTTAAATATAAATCGGAATGTTGAGCTTTACGTGTGTTTGTCTTTAAAAAAATAATTTTTTTTTTCAGATTTGTGGCAAGTACCTGTAAAACATTAAAAACATTCATTGATAATAACACAATTATTTTAGTGTTTAAGCCTGATGTTTATTCGATTTTTACTGATGACATGACATGTTGTGTATTTAGATATTCAACAGCTGAATCTAAAATTCCCTGGCCATTATGAATGAACTAAACCCTAACATCAATTTTTAAATTAGATGGTTCTTTGTCGCAAAATAATCTGTCTTGCCTATATATATATATATATATAT